CCTTCTTATTTCTGGATGCCATGAAATGAGGTCTCTTTCACCACTAAAAACCAACATGAGTGGATTCAAAATTCCATATAGTTGGCTATTAACTTGGTGATACTTCCCACTGTGAAATTTAAAATGGTAGCCTTCACATTTTGTAAGAAAACAGTTTATTTTATACGCATATAAAGCTGTTTTTCCTACTGAGATTTTTGTTTTGTCGGCTTTCACTGGGCATGTGTGTTAAAATGATTCAGGTTAGCTTTTTAAGGAGAAGGCTAATGTATTTTGCAGTTTCTTTTTGTATATGTGTAAGTGGTGCATATACCTGTCTTTGACTCCATTAATATTCTGGAAAAAATCAAATAATAGTGTTAAAAAATTAAGCCATTACACAATTAGTTGATATGTCTTCTTACTGTTGTAAAGATTTAGAGAGAGAATTTTAGAGTTACAAAAGCAATAAGTCACTTGGAAAGAAACAAAATTTCATACAAAGCAGAAAATCAATTATATGTTGACAGAAAAAAATGTGTGTGTATGAATTATATTATATGTCAGTAAGAGATTTAGCATACTTTAAAAAATAATTTTATCTTCAGAATCCAAAGTTTTGTTTTAAAACTTCAAGTGGGTGTAGATTTTCTCAAATGTGTATTTGAAACCTTGGATTTCTGAACTTCCCTACCTGACAATGAAAGATTTGTTATTCTCTATTAATGAAACAGCATATTTATTCTAGGCTGAACTGATTCTGAAATGATTTTATGTATTATCCCATCCTCAAACATCCTCCCAAATATATGCTATCTAATTTCCCTAATCAATCTTCTCTAGGTGAAAGGAAATATTTCAAATACTAAGGTGTGCTGTTTGGTTTTATTAAGAATCTTGTGATAGGCAGTTGCTCTTAAGACTCAAATCAAGTATGAGTAGAATATGCCAATAATATTGCAGGCCATGTTAAATTCATTATATTTTGAGAGACAGTTAACAAAAGGGTAGAAGCAAATGTCTCCCATTAGGATGACTAGAAAATGCTTTCTTCATAACAAGTAAAGAAATGCAAAGAGCGTTCAATATATATTAAATATCTCCTCTAGTCGATTTTATGATGACAGTGTTGGAAGCTGCTAATTTTGATAGGTTATGGAGTTTGGATATGTCTTTATCTGCTTATATAACTCACTCAATGGAATGTGATTATAGTCAGTGTTCTTTTTGTTCTTTCCCATTCAGAAACATGCGTAATTATTAAATTCTTAATGTCTATGAGGAATGAGTCAATAGCTGCCGATTGCAGGTGCCCCTGAAGAGCTGACTGTTTATGGAATAAATAGCCTACTACCACGCCCCGCCCCCACCTCCTAGTGAGATTATTTAATAAAATGAATGCCCAGAGCCAGCTAGGGTTAGTGGTTTTACTGTCAATACTTTCCTCTCAGTTGATGAAGTTGGCAGTTGTTTTGGAATATAATTATCTATAATTTTGATCATTATTAATTCCGTGTAGTAGTTGGGAGGTTTCTTTTCTGATGAGGGAAAGGACCTGTGAAATAATGTCAGCAAAGTTAACCCAAGGTGGCAAGGAATTAGCTCCAGAATCCTGGAAAAACATGCTCCTTGTACACGAAGCCATTTTATACAGCCCATTTTAGTCCAGATCAATGACATCTATCCACTTGAGAGCATGGCATAATTTTATATTTTCACATTGGCTTCACAAGTGTGTACACCAGTGAGCAGTCTGTGGAGTACTCATAGCATATTAGTGGGTATTTTTATTGAAGAGGACTTCCCAGTACTTGGGTGCGCAGGTAGAGATGGTGGCACTACCAGATTACGGTGAGTTCTCAAGGTTCCCCGAGTAAAGAACTAGAACTGGGGCTGCCCAGGGCTCTTCTGAAGCTGCTCACATTTAGGTGAAATGAACAACTGAGACAAATTCGAAGTCCACATTACTTGGCAGTGAGTTCAGTTATGGGCAAGAAGGGATGGGTTTAGTATATTAAATCCCCAAGTATGTCATATACTGTCCTCATATCGGTTTGCCTGGCTATTTGCTGTGATGACCTAGCTTTTAAGAAGCTATTGAAGATTTTAACCTGGTTGAAATCATAACCAGGTGGGAACTGGTGCTATTAGGTAACAGAGGTTAAGGGGTAAATAATATTCTATTTTTAAATCATTTAATTTTCCTTGAAAACTTCATAATTATACTTCAGTAGAAAATTCCTGATTTAGACAGAGGCTTCTTTTCTATTGTGTGTTATGGAAGTTCATTGATTCAATTTTTTACTGATTTTAAATTGAGAGAATTTTCTTTGAAGTGTATGTGGCATTGAAAAGTAAGGAGATCCTGATGTGAAGGATGCATTCTAAGTGATGCTACAAACATAAAAATTGGAGTGAAATCAAATAATTATGTTAAAGAACAGCTTAATGACCCTCTGTTCCTGATCTGTGATATGCCGTGGTCAATATCTTTTTCTGTGTCAATGGGAGCTCATTAAATGTAAATTCTGCAGACTAACTGAGCCATGCCATATTAGTGCTTGCCAAAGCTTGACATTTTTAATACATTAATAATATGTCTGTAATGTAATGGAAAACTATTAATCACAACTGGTTATGTGCCAGAAATTTAAGCTATAATTGGCTGCTTCTTGTCAAGAATGTCTGTCGCGCAGTCCTGCAACTGCCTAATATTCAAATGTCTTGCACTCCTCTGCATTTTTCCTTGTCAGTTTTCTAAATCTGATCAATGATGTAGTCCATAATTTTGTGTAATGACCATCATTATAATTCTGGTGTACTTTAATGAGAATTCGTTACATTGGGATCGCTGTTGTGTCAGGAAATAGTAACAGGTTCCCATACATTTCCTTAGTGTCCAAATTTTTAACACACACATATAGGGCCATCCTTTATTTTGTGAATCAGGTAAGGCGAAATGTGGATGAAGGCAGTGGCCAAGAATAAATGGATTGAGGGACAACATTTATTGGTTAAAAAATATAATTAATCTTAGGGAGAATTCAAGTATATACTTAAGGTAATATTTTTAAAAAAATATTAAAAATTAGTTTGTAGTGCTCACTCAGTTCAAACTCAAAGCATTTCATTCTAGGTCTTCAACATTGTATGTTTCTTGATAAATAAGTTGCTGTGTATTTGAAACTAAGAATTGAAGCTGACAGTTTCTGGTGCGGTAGACTTTACACTGCTTCAGCTATAAAGCCCACCTCCTCACCACCCTGTAGAAGTGTTTGTTCTTGTTTTAGCAAAGTAGTAAATGCATTTGAAAAATGCACCTAGAAAATGTAAATTTGTATTATTTGAATATCCTTTCAGATTATTAATTGTCAGAATGTTGGATATTTCTGAAAATACCAACTTAAAATTACTAATGAATCTGAAAAAAGCAGAAGGCAGTCGTAGCCACAATACATGCTTCTCTGTGATTTTCTTCTTTTTAGTTTAAGATTTCAAAATGTACTCAACACAATATAGTCTTTATGTTACAAGGAAGAGGCAGATTTAAATCTGTAGTTTATACATGTTTAGACAAACTGCTAATTATTGCTTCATAGGAACTCAAATATTCAACACTTTTCCTAATAGAAAATATCACAAATTGCAGCAGTATGATAACATTTTATGAATTGAATATAATGAAAATTGCACTTGCATCCATAAAGCAATTATTATAAATTGCTTTGCTATGGAAACACAATTCAACCATCTGTTGGCATTTCATAGTCTCTGTGGCTTAGTTCATTTTAAGATGGTGCATTATTTAAATATAGTGAATTCCTTTTATAAGATTGTTTGAGGATAGTGAACTTCCATATTTAAACTGCTTAGTGTGAACTGAAGGGTCTATAATGGTATTTCCTAAAACTGTAGGCGTTTTTGTCCTTCTGCATTTAAAAAAATAGTTAAAAATTATTTGGACTATGACAATAAGAACCAACTAGTTAAGCAAATATACTTTTCTTACACCTGGATTTCAAACATTATTGTTTGTTTAGATTTGAACAGATTTCTAGGGGGGAAAGTTGCCAGTTAAACTCTCCAATGACTTGTACCCATACTTACGTAGGCTGCTATAAGTTAACCCAAAAGTACTTTTAAACAGTAATTTTTATTTTCTCTTGGAATTAGTGCCATGTTATTCTGCTTCATGGCCTGTTAACTCACCCTCAGCTATTTTTATATGTGCATTTTAAATTGTGCGTTTTACTACAGAGCTTTTAGTTTTAAAGCAGTGTATAATATTCGCCTTTGGGACAAATTCTCTTCTTCTGTTGCAGAAAGTAACTGCAAATGCAGATGTAATGGCTATAAAAAGATGTAAGAAAATAGAAGATTCTTATGAAAGGAAAATTTGCTCCTTTGGTTTTATTTTTGAGGTTTTTTTTTTTTTTCAGAGAGGCAAGTTATCTTTATCACTAAATGCAACTAAACAAAAGATGTGAAATTCTTCCAATATAATGAACAAGTCCAGAGGGACAGGCTCATGCCAACAATGCCAGTTTTCACTCCAGCTAACAACGGCTAAGAAATGCACAAGGAATTTGAAAATTTTTAGGGTCTCTTTGCTAAGAGACAAAAGGCACTCCAGTAGTTGTCACTTCTTTGTCATTGTTATAAAAGCGCTTATTTTTCCTCCATTGTTCTCCAGGAGGATTTTCTCGCACTGCAATGTATGAGAAATGTTTAAATCTAGCTGCTTGCTCTCAGTTTTGTCAAGATGGAAATATAATTTTTGAAGCGAAAACCTGTAACTCACCTGGAACACACACATCTGTCTTTGTTATGGAAGAGTTAAATCCTTCATATCGAAATTCTCTCCAATATGAATGATTTCTGTGGTTTGCTCATCCTAGCAAAGCAGCTGAGTGAAGGTTATCCATATTACACCAATTTGCTTTATATTGCATCAAACCTCCCAGATGTCAACATATCGTATATTTTGTAACGCATTGATTCTGGGACAATAACTCTTATTCTTATTGTTTCTAAAAAGGTGTTGCTGCCAGAAGAAAAGAATGATTGATGGGAAGCAGACACTGGGGCACAGACGCTCATCCTTTTGCTTCGGATACTGATACCTCAGTGCATCTGAGCATCGCTTGTGAGCGATCAGCATCGAGGATCACCCAGGGTATCGGATGTACACCAGGAGAGCCATCACTTTGCTAAATCATTATCTGCTACTGGACATCTTTTACAAAAACCAAACTAGGCCCAAGTGTAATAGATACGTTCTGGGACAATGAAAAAGCTGCAAGTCATTAATGCCTAACGCACAAGTATGCTAGGCTTCTGCCAAAGTCCTCAGTATCCCTGAACACGCGCAATATCCAAACCGTCCACTTTTAGTTTCGGAATCTACTTTGAGATCTCATCTTCTTCCTTTTTTTTTTTAAATATACAGACCTACCTACGAATAGACATACATGCATATGTAAAGTAGACTGATACCACAGAAAAGCAAACCCTGCTTTAGTTACCACGAAGACTGCCAAGAATTTAGAGATGTATTTGTCAAGATTCCTGTCCATTCATGCCCTTTGGGTTACAGTGTCCTCAGTGATGCAGCCCTACCCTTTGGTGTGGGGACATTATGATGTGTGTAAGACTCAGATTTACACAGAAGAAGGGAAAGTTTGGGATTACATGGCCTGTCAGCCGGAATCCACGGACATGACAAAATATCTGAAAGTGAAACTGGATCCTCCAGACATTACCTGCGGAGACCCTCCTGAGACATTCTGTGCAATGGTGAGACAACCTTTTTGAATAGAATATTTCATGTTAAGTGTAGGCATGTTGTATATGCATGAAATGTGGGGAGTGTAAAGACTCAACTGGGGCCATGAGATGAATCTGCAGGTGGCAGATTTGTGCTGACAGGCTAGCTTCATTCTCAGTGGAGGCCTGTGCTCCCTGGAATTGTAGTTTGCACAGTGTGATTGATGCACTGGAACTTAACCTCCACGTTCCTGCAAACCAAAGGTTTCTCCGAGACAAGCGCACTGTATGTAAATTATAACAGAACAAGTCCAACTGAAGGTTAAATTTTAGATTGGAGATTGGAAATGTGACCAGGCCAAATATGATATGGTAAGGATAAAATCCATTGGTAAGCCAGCTTTAAAAACACAAAGGTTTCTTCATATGTATATTTAAAATAAGGCCAGCCCCTAGTTCCACAGTTCAAAGCTAGGGTAGGTATCATGATTTTCCTCATCAGGAAAGGGCTATGATTCACAATTTGGGGGCGGAGCAGGAGATAATTAGGTTTATTTATTTATTTAATAATTTTTTTTAATGGAGGTACTGGAGATTGAGCCCAGGACCTCGTGCATGCTAATGTGAAGCACTCATTCTGCCACTGAGCTATATGCTCCACCTTAGGAAAGCTCTATAATTTGGAAAATCTTGGTTAGGAGACCAGTGAGAGGAGAAACACAGAGGGAGATGGGACTAGACCCTCATGAGAAGCTTTTCCAGAAAAGTCTTATTTGATAATTTATGTAGCCTCTTATTTTCAAGGGTTGTGGTTTCCTGTAGAAAATGTTGGAATGTTGAAAATGTATTTGCTGTAAAGTAATGACATGGAGCCTACACATTTAAATGCTATCCTTTTGATAAGCCAAGTTAGAGAATTCATTGTTTTATAGAATATGTTTTATTTTCATATGTTTTATAGAATGTTCATATAGAAATCTTTTTCTGGGCGGAGAAGTAAATGCTGTGAGGAAAGGTAACATTGTGGTGACACGTTGAATTTTTACTAAAGACATTGCTGAAAATATACCTGTAAGGTATTACTAAAGAGTTTGGTGATTAAAATGAGGTAGACCAGTATGCTAAAGAATTCAGCATGTCCATTTGGTTTATATTGCTTTTTTTTTCTAATATAGGTAGTCTTTATCTGATACAGGAACTGTGATCCCATTTTTTCTCCACATAACAGATATAATTGTATGGCAGATTTTAATAGTGTTTTTACCTGACTTTATTATCTTGAACCTGGCCTGGCATTTTCAGGATAGTGAAACTATTAATCAAAGTAGCATCTGTTCACAGTCCCCAGTGAGTTAAATTAGCATAAGATCATCTTAGACCTAGCACTGTGGAAAAGGCTTTGTAACAGGGAACAATTTTGAGCAATAAAGAGTGTTTTCACCTAAAAGCTAAAGGCTTGCCATTTTTCAGAAGTGCCTTTGGGGACTGGTTTGAATTATAGTCTAAACCTGATTTCGTGGAGAGTGAGAAAAAGAGCTTGGCTATTAGGTGTCACTATGACTAAAGTGCCCAGAAAGACTAAATATTTCAAAGAGAGGACCCGTCTCTCTGGGAAACAGGTATGTGCTTTGCAAAGAAGTTGTCTTTTAGAACCCAGAGACTTCCAGAAGAGAAGTTTATTCAAACACATCAGGAAAACTATAATAAATCTATAAAGCAGCAGGGGCATTTTTTGGCTTTCTATAAGGTCTTTAATAATCCCTCATAAAAGGTCAAATTTAAGGCCTCATTGCAAATCTGAGATGAAATGGCTGTTCAGGTGACAGGTAGTGCATTTTCCACTCCTCAGCAGAGGATGAGTTCTGGGCCAACTCTTTGTATGACTAAGAACACTCTAACGCTACATATTGGTTTGCATGTACTTGTAGCAATATGACTCTTGTGGAATTGTTTAATAATTTACAGATCAGAGTAAAATAGCAAAGATCCTTTTGCAGTGTGCTGTTTGTACTTGCATAGGCCCTGTGTGGTGAATTTAATGTGTGATTTGAATGCTTTCCTGATCTCAGCCTCTGGCAAGAGATGCTTGCTCAGCACTGCTCCTGTCCATCATGTTGAAGGGTTTGCTTGGTGTCTTCAGCATGCCTCTCTCTCCCGTCATGAGTGGGAAAGGGCACATTACAGAACTTCTTGTGCCTGCCTTTCACAGGGACATGGTCTTAGGTCCTTAAACAAGCTGGTTCCTACCAGTCCACTGGCTATGTGATGTTAGAGACCAAAAGAAAAAAAATTAAAATGATATCCTTCAGCTTTCTCAAGTGCAGTCACGTGTACTTGATATGTTTATATAAAACTTCACAGGGCAGTGTTTTAAAAGGCTGCATCTTACTGTGATGCAGATGTTCCCAAGCATTGATGGGTTTAAGCTTGTCATTGAGCAGAATGGTTTTCCAAGGGAGAGTATGAGGTTTGGGAGACGTCACCTATCAGTGCTTAATTTGGACTCCTTGAAGTGCATATGATCGGCATAACAGATTTAATAATCTATCCTTTAAATGCATAATATGGGGCTAATTGTATGCATGCTATATACTAAATCAAAGATGAAGACCTACTATAGCAACGTTTCCTCTCTGCAGTTTTGGATTTTCCATAAAACTCTTTAGTGTAAGGGTGACTGACACAAGGCTGTAAAGCTGTCTCAGGATGCTGTCATATCAGACCTGTTTAGGTGCTCCTTGGTCCAAGGTCTAATGGGAATCCATAAAGTCATTTGTGTTATGACTTTCACGTTCTCCCCTCCTTGACACACGCATCCATACCTGCTCCCTCAGAGTCGTTATGGCCTATTACATCAGGGCAGCTGCCACATAAGCACAGTCACTGCTTAGCCCTGATATGTAAATGTTTGCTGCGAAATGGATTCAGTAATCACCTGCCTTGCTAGTGACACCCTTATTAGCTGTGACTATAAGAATTCTGAGCACCGAGGGGACATTTGGTCAGAGAAATATCCTGTAATTCCCGTAGCCAATTTATTTTATATAAAGTTGAAGTTATTGGCAAAGCATGGAGGGTCTGTGTTGCTGCTTTTTGCGTTACTTCCATCATTACATGGCAGTGACCATCCTTGAATGCTGCATTTACTTTAGAATGAAATTTTAGGGAAAAAGGACTACATAATTCCATTTGTAGAAGTAGATCTCCGCTTATTAACCTAGATAACCTACTTAATAACTCTTTAACGTCTAGTGATTTTAAATTGTTGCGTACCATAAGTATTCGCATTTTAAACATCAGTTTTATGGGAGATTCTGCCATTTCTACTTATGAGAGCGGATATACATAAGTCCATATACATATATATGCGTGAATTCTGTATATTGAGACCTTGCATTTCCCTTTTAATTTAATTTGGTATATTCCTCATAAGTTGTTGATGGCTAAAAAACCTATTTTTGTTAGCGAGGAACAATCTGAAGGGTAGGAGAGGGTTGAGCATTTTTTTTTCGGCTGGGATAGCATGTTAGTATAGATCATGTCCTTCCTTCAGCCACATAAAACCTTCAGGTAGCACAGCTTTGTCAGAAAACACAGATCATCTAGTGACTACAGTTTGTTTCAATTTGCATAAAGAGCAAATAGGATGATCTGAACCTGTGTGTAAAGCTGAAGTGACAACACAAAGCTATGACTTGTTCTTTGTGTTTAGACAAACTTAGCTGTCATATCTCCATGCAACACCCTAGTGGCTTAAAAATGGCAAAATTATCTGCAGTTATCTCCGGCCTGCAGCTAATTTTCTGGATAAGTTAAACAGAAGCTTTCAAAAGAAGCCTACAGATGGAAGAAATCACAGGCGTTTGTACAATTTATGGCACAGAAGTGCTGATGATGGTGGAAATGTGAGCCCTTGAGTGCAGCTATGGATTTCAGAGCCAATCAAAACTAAATTAGGAAACAAAGATTATTAAAAAGTCTTCTGTGCATGTAATTTTGGCTTAATATTATGAGGTGGACATTAAATGCTTCCCTTGGAGGCCTTCGGCGTCATTAATGCAGCACGCCTTTAATTACATGTAGACTCATATTACTAAAAAATGGAAAAAATAAAGTACTCTGAGGTGTAGTTAGCAATACCCTCATTATGTTTACTGAAATAATTAAAAGAAAGGGTGTAATTTTTCTAAATAAAATGTCAGAATTTGAAATGAAAATGGATTTTCTTTAGGAAATTTGCTAATGTGTGCCTGCACTCTTGATAGGCATTTATTCAAGCACCATAGCAGGTCTATTAATGATCATTCCATATTTTGCTGTTTCTAGATAGACTCCTATTAAGAAAAAAATTTTAATTATTGTAAGCATTGTGGATAGAGAGTATTTTATTATGTTCAAATGAAATTTACAAAAGTGGTAGAAAGCCTTCATGTTTTATGATGTTAGAGGAACCCTGCGGGATGAGTGTGTGGTGGTGCATAGTCTCAGGGCTATCCATAACTTATATTTCTGATTTGACATCAGCTCAGGTTGCCATCTGGTGGCTATCAGGTGGCCTTTGAGAAGTTAATTTGATAAATTCAGTTACGTTTTCAGTGACAAGGCATTAATATCAATTTTCCAAAAACTGGAAATGACATATGACATTGACATATATAATAATCGAATGATCTTAAAAATCCACTCTGTTCACATGAAACGTAATTTAATAAATGAATGAAGTTTTAATAACAGTGACATCTTTCATTTGAACTGATTTATCCCTTAATTATGCCAGAATGGAATTTTTAAAGCCTTCAGTTCCTTCATTTTTAACACTTCGTTGTTATTTAGTTCATTATTTAGACTTGTTTCTTAGAAAAGTTTTAATTCATGTTTGCAGTGAATAAAGTTCCACAGAGATCAGTCTTTCTGGTATATCTGGTATCAAGTATTCCCCTTTTGAGGAGCCTATAGTAGCTCTCTATTATCTATTGCATCAAGTCTAGAGTACTCTACCTGATTTTTAAATCTGAGCGTTTACAGCCTTA